TATATATAGATTTTTTTTTTTTTTAACTTCATTTTGAGTGCTGTACAATTGCACTGCATCGCACTGAGCACTGTAAATCAAACGATACCTTTTCAATCACCATTTTCTCGAGGAAGGCGGCATGTTTACTCTTGCAGTCGTGATAAGGAGGCGTACCGTCGGTTATGGCCGTAAAGGAGTTTAGAATCCTGTCTGTTTAAACCAAACCACCACGAAGCACGAAGACGCTTTGCGGCCTAACAACAAGTCAAGCGTGACTTCCAGTATTCGTTCGGCGTCACTGTAAATAAAAGCACGGCCTCCGTATAGCTGTCTGTTTAACGGCTGTGACGAGAAAGGCGTAATGTTTCGACATGTTTCTTTTGGCGACGCCGCTTACCAGGACCGGGCTGCAAGCGCTGGGCTGCAGGTTGGATAGACGCCGGGCCAGGACCGCTCGGTAGCTGGTCTCGGGATCGTCTTCCAAGGCGACGCTGTCCGGCTGGGAGTCCTCGACGATGAGACACGGGTTCTCCGGCTGTGGTAGGCTGGAGTCCAATTCACTTCCGTCGGGATCCATGTGGTCGGGCCGTGATCAGCAGCAGACTGAATGACTGACGACACACAAAGAAACATGGGTGAACGAGTCGTCGCTTGTTGTTTTGCTTTTGGAACAGTCGTCGCACTTCAGATGAACTAGCCAACCGTCGCAATGATCGACATAAGTTTGCAGTATGTACAGTATTGATATTCAGGTCTATTGTCGAGTTCGGCTGGTACGTAAACACAAATACACACCCCTGCTCACCCGGTCCTGTTCAGCGCGGCAAAATGAGCTGGGAGGAAGCCTATTGGCTTGATCGAGGCTGTGACGTCACTCAAAGCCATCGGTTGGTTTTATGGTTACTTAGCAATTGTTTTAATTCGTTGGTTGGTTCGTTGGTTTGTTATTGTCAATAGCTATTTGTTGTTCCGTATACTGTTGGAGCAAATTACTTCCAAAATGTAATACATTACATATTAGTAGTTACTTGCATTGGAATTGGAATTCCTCATATAGTTTGGGGAGGTGTGCACAAAATGTATTTGTATTTGCCAGTCAAAATATTTTTACTCCACGTTGCTAGCTCCTCTCTTCTGTATTTTCATAATATATTGTCCATCATATCATCAGTCCATTTAGGGAATTTGGAGAACTCAGCACATTAGCGACAAAGCCTAAAACCACACACCTTTGATCCCTCAGGCAGCACTGCATTAAAAAGCAGCATTATTGTGTGAAGGATATTGTCACGGTTGTCAGCCGGTTGCCAGCCAATCCGTGCACACAGAGACGAACAACCATCTGCGCTCACACTCACACCGAGGGACAATTTAGAGTGTTCAATCAGCCTGCCGTGCATGTTTTTGGAATGTGGGAGGAAACCGCAGTACCCGGAGAAAACCCACGCAGGCCAGGGGAGAACATGCAAACTCCATACAGGGAGGCCGGAGCTGGAATTGAACCTGGTACCTCTGCATTGTGAGGTCGACGCGCTAACTACTGGACCACCGGGCCGCCCTCATCAGACACCATGAAGATGAATTTGTGTTCAGAAATCTGCCAGGATTCAGTACACAAGGCTCAAAAATGTCACTGTCCTGCCTAAACCTGGACCAGTGATGTGCAGTCAGGCGAAGCAAGTGAGGCCCTGCTGTTTTAGTTGTATTTTCTGCTTTCTATTGATTTTCTTTTTCATTCCAATGATCATCAATTATTTCCTCATTAAAATAGCTAAATGTCCAGAATTTCTTTAGAGGATGGTCAGGAAATGAAGCTATGCATCACAGGCTCGGTGCCTCAACATACCATTGATGACTCAGGCAGTTGGTGCGTGCACCCACACAAAAGTCGTTGTCTTTCTATCGCCAATAAACATGTTTTATCACACTTTAATATGATATCCTGTGTGGCTAATAAACGGATGTAATGAAATAGTGCAAGTTAAAAAATATAAAGATTTAATAGCTATATTACTGAAATGATTTGTGAAATGATGAGCTACCGTTTTAGTTTAGCATGGAGCTATAAAACACATTGAAACGGATTTGACGAACCGTAAAATGATGCAGCAGCACTGCCAGCCTAAGCAGACAATGTCGTGCTCTTCTACTTCAACTAATACTTCTCAAGTGAATTTTGTGTGTCTCATTACATATGAATGATCACTTGGATGACCCAAGCAACACGCAGTTGTAAAACGTGGAAGTGATTAAATAAATGTCACATCTGCTTATGACACAAACAGCACGCAGTTCGAGGTCATGACGTAGCGGTATCCAGTACGTTCCTTTTTCTTTGGGGCAGTTTTTTTTTACCCTCTGGCTTGGCCTTTCCAAAAAAAGCTAAGAGGGAAGGGAAAGACTCTAAAAAGAAGAAATGGGATTGGGCCATAGTCAGAATTTGACGGAAATGCACTAACATGACCTTAAAAAGGCCACTCGTGCTCAAAAACCATCCAGTGTGGCTGAATTAAAACAATTTCGCATGGCTAGGTTTGGGGGCAAGGACCTTTTCACACCGGGCTGAATAAAATAATTGAAAAATTTTACGTTTACTTGGGTGATCTTTGTCTGACATTTACATTGGTTTGATCTTAGTTTTACTGTTTGGTGCTTTCTACCGTCCTTGTTCCTGATTTATTGCTTTATTGTATATATGATAGTTGCTCCATGTACAGCACTTTGTATGCAGTGATGGCTGTTTGAAAGTGCTCTATAAATACAGTTGAGTTGATCGTCTTAAAACATTAAAGTGGGTAAACTGCAAAAAAAAAAAAGCCAGAATTTGAGAAAAGGGGAAAAACACTGAAAACAAATGTACAAACTCATTATCATTTAACCTATAAATTGGATGAATATACCGGTCAGACAAAAGTGTTCATTATCATTCAGAATGTACTTTGCTGTTTGAGCGAATAAGTGGGTGCTGTAATATTTCTGGATGTACCAAAACACAAATGGAAAGTGCTGTATTTTGGAGCGTACGAATGACAACGCTGCTCTTAATTTTGAGGCCCAACAGCCATTCAAATATCACTTCTATCATCTTTTGACAACCTCAGTTTCCACGGAGACACGCACATCCTGAGACAACGCGGTCCATGCTAATTAGCTTACAGCTACTGCCGGGAGGAGGAAGCACAAAGCAAAAATCGTTTTGATTGCTTCTTGGCAGCATAACAATCACATGAAATCAAGAAGAAAAAAAAAAGCTGCAAAGAAAATAGCTGGATGAATGGAATTTTACAATGCATGCAGGACGGACAGCTCTGCCTGATCTTTTATTTCATCCATGAGCTCCAACTCCCAGTTGACCTCATGTGAATGGAAGACTACATCCAGGACCAGTTTCCAGTCAATCTTAGCACAGATACAGTAAAGAGACAGGCAATATGTATTCACACTCACATTACCATGGGAGCTACGCCCACGCTGCTTGGACAGAAGTGAGTCAAGTGAACAGCTACTGAATGTAAATATGGCTCTTTTGTACAAAATACTTTGATGCTTCAAATTGCAGCGCATGGATGGAAGTACTGCAACTCGCTGACGAACAGTCCAGGGTGTACCTCACCTCTCAGCCCAAATCAGCTGGAAAAGACTCCAGGTCACCCTCGAGTGGTGACCCGAATGAGGACAAAGTGTGAAGGGCCGTAGCTGCAGTGAGGCGTGGGTAATCCCCATATTGGCATTTTTACATTCCTTTTTAACACCAAAACAGGTTTTTCCACATTGCCATTGAATGGTTCATGAACACGCATCACACATGTTTAATCTCACGGATTGCAGATTAGAAAATGTTAAAAAAAAAAAAATTGCACGTATTTTACAAACCACAATTTTTTTTTCCAAACAAAAGTAAATTGATTGAAATGTGCATGTGCATAATGTGGTCAGTTTATGACAAATTAAGAGGTCACATAAATGTGGAAGGTCAAAGGGATGTGGAGTGAGTCAGGCATGACTGTCAAAAGGCTAAGGAGTCGATATCATATTCTGATGTCGAGCTCAGAAAGGGTTCACATCCTCAAACTATCGTGTCAAACAGATCCCCATCCCTAAAACTAATAAACTACTGCACAATGTTGTTACCGGCTGTATATGCGACAAACCTGACTTTTCTGCTTGAAAGGTGTGCTCACTTATTTGCACCTAATACGAAGAGCATGTTCGCATATGATTTCTTATCCATAAAAAGGAATGCTTTGGTTGGTTGCATTATATAAGTCCATCTTTTTAAATATGTTTAGTAAGTAAATTGTGTTATTTTTTTAGGTGGGCTTCAAAGGATTTTGAGTTTGCAAAAAATTTTGGAAATGACCTAGTGTTTGATTCAAAACAGATGGGCAAACATTTTCAATCCAACCTGGTGTCAAGAAATGTCTAATTTTGGTTAACCACAGAAACAAATGGTTTGCTTTCATAAAGGGATAAGGAAATCAGAAATTACATGTGGGAGGCTGAACTCGGCATCATTCGCTTTCCATTTTGTTTGCAATAAGATTGCTAGCCAGAACCATAATACATTTTTGTGTGCAGTGTTGCCATTGGACATTGGATGTACACTTTGGACTGGTTGCCAGCCAATCATATGGCACATATTGACAACCATCAATGGACAATTTAGAGTTTTCACTTTACCTAACACTTTGGGGAGTAGAGGAGTCAAAAATCAATTCATCAATGATCAAATGAATCAACTATATTAATAATTGTCCGTAGCCATAACAGTAATACTAACACAAAAGTGAGCACCGTTGCACAGAGACAAACCATCCGCGCTCACACTCACACCTAGGGACAACTTAAAAGTGTTCAATCAGCCTGCCATGCATGTTTTTGGAATGTGGGAGGAAACTGGAGGACCCGGAGAAAACCCACTCAGGCTAGGGGGAGAACATGCAAACTCCACACAGGGAGGTCAGAGCTGGAATTGAACCCGGTACCTCTGCACTGTGAGGTCAACGCACTAGCCTCTGGGCCACCGGGCCGCCCCGTTACAATAATCGATTCCAAACATATTTGACAGTGACAGCCATGGTGGAGATTTCTCACGGAAGCCAGAACCAAGATTCGAACCCCAGAAGTTAGATGTGCAAACCACTAGTGAGCTGGACTGAAATTGAAGCAAATGGGTCATTCCAGAATTGGAGGGCATTTGGGCTTCAAAATTCTTGAAAAACAAACCTTTATTATTCAGATTTTCTGCTACGTAATAATGATAAATTACAACGCACAGTGGGCGACTGGTCAGCACGTCGGCCTCACAGTGCACAGGTGCATAGTTCAATTCTGTGTGGAGTTTGCATGTCCTCCCCGTGCCTGCGTGTGTTTTGTCTGGGTACTCGGGTTTCCTCTCACATTCCAAAAACAAGCATGACAGTCTAAATTATCCCTCGGTGTGAATGTGAGCGTGGATGGTTGTTCGTCTCTGTGTGCCTTGTGATCTGCTGGCAACCAGTTCACGGTGTCCCTCACCTGCTGCCCGAAGACAGCTGGGATATGCTCCAGCACCCCCGCAACCCTTCTGAGGATAAAGCGGATTGGAAAATTGATGGGTTACAAATAATAGTTTAAGTGTGGGCAAAGGAGTAGATAGTGCAACTCTCACTGTAAGTACAGCAACAGAGTTGTAGGTAACAGGGTTGGAAATCCGGATGATTGTTCGCGTTCTCTCAGGACTAGAAGTTAGCTGTAACTGCTGACCAAGAGGACAATCTTATTTATCTAACTAAAATTGTCTTGTTCTGATCACATGCACAACAGGGTTGCATGAGGTAGAGTGATACATTCAATCAAAGCTAACTGTCTTTATTTTTATAACAGCTGTTATTTTGGAAAACTGAAGATGTCAAGTCCAGCGTGTCATGTGATTCAC